CAGCCGGAACATGCAAGCTTCTATTCGGGGGCGAGGCGTTCAAGAGTCAACTATCAACAAGACAAAGTCTTTCGCCGCATCAGAGCGAAGGAGGATGAATGAGTAAATAAGCCATATTTAACAAATCCAGAAAGTCACCTCAGAAGTTCAAGAAAAGGATGAGGGGAGCAAGTAGAGATCTCAAACCAGAGGGGATTATGAGGCGGAACATAACAGGAGGCGAAAAGAGACGGGAGCAGGACAGAACACTCTCCAGGCCGTAATCTCAATCTAGATCCGGAGAAGGAAGCGGTGAAGGAACAACTAAGATGGGGCAAAGGTGCCGCTGACAGCGGAAAATTTCCTCAAGGAGATAGGAGAAGATTAAAGCAGCAGAAGGCAGTCGTGAAGTCAGGATCAATTCAAGACCCTAAAACAAAAACAGCATCGAACTCTGAAACCAGAAGAAGGTAACGAGGATTATGTGCAAGGTACAGCGGGGGGACCACCGGGCGGCGTCATAAGAGACTCCATCCATGTGGTGGTTGAACCGTCTGGACAGGGCAGGAAGGCGGAGGGACTGTAGTCAGGATCTCAGGACATGAATAACCACCAAGGGGCGGCCAAGGAGAAGAAAGCAAAAAGATTTTACGGTAGAGTGCTAGTAGGTTAGGCGTGAGGGATCAGAAGAGATAGGAAGAAGGAAGGAGCGTTATCTGAATATAGACCAAGGGATAGATAAATCCAAGTAGAAGACCGACAGTAGAGTCGAGAACTCTGAAATCATCGGAACCTCTGTAAGGGGGCCAACAAGCACGAACAAACGACAGACTTCGGGAAGGGGGACCATACAGCTGCGGGGCCACAGGGAAAGGGGATCTACGGTCCGAAGGAGCTCCTGAAGTTATCAGACTCTTCTTTGCCGATAAGATGAAGAGTCAGTAGCAACCCACCAGAAACTCCCCAGAGCCATAGGGTCAAGCATGAGAACAGCTGAGCTCGTTATGCAGGACCCGACAACCCCCAGTTACAGAACGCGTGTGCAGAAGTGCAATAAAACTAGGCAGAAAACAGAAGGAACGTGGATAGATCAGAGGAAAAAGGGCAAACCCCTCACTACAGTCTTCTGAAGTATAGTTAAAGGAGAGTCTAGAGAGCCGACGAAGGACACCTCCAATACCCGCGGATAAATCCCAGAGTCTAAGTCCAGGACAATGTTTCTGAAGAAGATTCGTTGAGCGGGGAGAAAGAAAAGGGACGAGTTCGGATCCATGAAATCAAGGAATGAAACAGAGAAATTGTAGACGCCTGCGTCAGGATATAGGAGAACAAATCCGCAACAAATGGTCCGTACAACCGAAAGAGGCAAAGTGCGAGAATAAGGGTGAGTTCTCGCAAGGATTTGGGGGGTAGAGGAAAGGAAGAAATAGAAATTCCGTCCCAAGGACGGAACCATAGGAGGAGGAGTTTATTCGACTAAGAAAGTTCCAGGCATCCAGCGGGGGAGCAGATTGAGTGTGAGTAGGAGAAGGAGGGAGAGAAGGAGTCCCAGGAGCCGACAACAGTACCCCCCAGAGGGAAGTTACCAAGTAGGAAACGCCACTGTAAGAACAGGGCAAACGGGACAAGAATACGAAGAGTATCAGCTTCACGAAGTCCAGGAAAAAGAACAGTACCCCGACGAAAAAGATGAAGCCTAAGTCCTAAGAATAAAGAGAGTTAAGACCCCCACGTTATAAACCCCAGATTGGTAGGAGGAGTTAAAGATCAGATTATGGAATAATCAAAGATGGTGATCACAGTAGCGAACACGTAAAGGGGGTTAGGCTCGGTACATTGCAAGGGGGCAGGCCCAATCTCGGACGGACCCGCAACCACCCCCAGCATGAGAGGAGAAGGAGGGAGCCGAACTAGTGCTTCGGGGCTGAGTCCGAAGAAAAGCCTCAGGAGAGGAGAAAGGGAGGGGCCGGAGGAACTGCCAAAAAACCCAAACGGACCCGAGACCCCAACCCTCCCAAATACAAGACGCTAAAGTAGCTCAAGGGCGGATACTGTGGAGGAGCAAGCAGGGAAGGAGGATCCAGGGGTAAATAGAGGAAGAGAAAAAGAGGGAGGCGGATATTAAGAAAGAGATCGAAGAGAAGGGGAACCTCCGAAGGGGAGTCTAATCCAGCTAAGATGGAGGATTTAGACCACCCTGCGCGTGAGTTCAGGGTTACAGACAAGAGCAAGCGGACAGCGGAGCCCCCGCAGAAGAACAAAACACCAAACTCGGGCCCGTCCCGCGAACTTCTCCCCCCCCCCCGAGGCGGGAGTCGTAGGAAAGGTGGAGGGAGCGTCGGGAGAGGAGAACAAAACAAACGAGAGAAGAGAGGCATGTGTATCGAGGGAAAAGAAAGACCAATCCCGAACAGGGGGGGCAGGACCAAATGAGTGGAAGAGTCAACCACAACAGGAGTCCAAGGCTTCGAACTGGACACCACAACTGAACACCGCCGCAGAGGGAGGCGGAGCGCGAAACCGAGCGAGGGGGGACTATTCCTACCCGAATAAGGAGGCAGAGCATGCTAAGGAACAACGAGGAAGAGCACGACATCTGTTCCTCAGAAAAATGCCGAAGCCCATGGACTCAATGAAGGTTTTACGTCCGTGGACACGTCGAGGGCATCGAAGCACCACCCCAAGCCTAGAAAAGAGCCACAGTAAAACACCGTCTTGAGAAGAGGGAGTCAAGAACAAAACTCAACCGAGGGACAACAACAGTAACCAACCTCAATATCTACAAAGATGAGACCCAGCTCGGGAGGGAGGTATGAGTGGTTAGGGGAGCCCAGGAAAATCACCCCCCAAAGGGAGAAGTGTGATCCTCAGAACAGCTATAAGTATTGCTATAAGATTCCGGCCTTTGGGGGTGAATACAACCGGCCAGTAGCAGGGGTTTACCAGTGGCCCCAACAGTTAGGACTGCGAGGCAACCCCATGCTGAACCAGGCGAAAGGTTTCAATAGTGGAGCCTTAAGGAGGAAAATAGCAAGTGAGGACGTCATATGGCAGGATGTAGTGGATGCCGTGCTGAAAGATGCTATAGAGAGTAGTAACAATAAGAAGAATAATGCAACAGAGGACAGCTATGTGGGGAGGACCGAGACGAGATTTTGGAAGAGTTTCATAAACCAAGCCTATGGAGGACCGTGTGATAGATCAGCCGACTGTCAGCCCCTGTTAGGGTTCATTGGTTGCATCATATCCTGGATCTGGAGCCAAGGGTCAGGATTAATCAAAACAGACGAGCAGGTGTGGAGAGGATGTGAGAGAATAAGACAAGAAATGAAGAAACAGCAGGAAGATGTCGTAATAATAGGGAATGGCAGCTGGACACGGCTGCAAAGATCAGGCCAAGTATGTCAAGGCAACAATAACTTCAGCAAATGTAGTGTGGAATTCATAAGTCTAATAGTGACAGTGGCTAGTTCTCTCAAGAAGTTATGTCCCACCTGTCCTCAGGTGGGTTTAGACGATCTATTCGGGGACAAGATAAAATATGGGAGCAACAAGTGTTTCAAGTGCCCACCGAACAGCAACAGGTATGAGTTCTGCGTGGCAGTCAAAGAATGTCCGGAGGAGGAGCCGTCAGATGGAACAATTTGCAGCTGTGATCCGTCCCAACTGAAAGATCACGTAACTGATGGACAACGAACGGCCACGGAAAAGCCAGGCCAAGGAGGGGCCACGAATTCTGAGCCCGACGACAGGACGCCAGAGGAAAGAAAACCCCCCTCAGCCATAGAAGAGCCCAAAGGAGGACTCGGCAGGGGCCATCAGGATCATGGCGTTAACGAACCTGTAGTCAGGGCAGACTTGGCGTCCCAGGCCATAGGAGGCGAACCAACACTGAAGGGAGAAGGAGACACAGACCCCCCCAGGGCAGAAACAGCTGAACAGGAGATCGAGAGTCATCACTCCCCCGAGGGACAGGATAAGTTGACCGAGGGCCCCTTGGGGAATAGGAACGGGGGGGGGAGTTCCAAGGTTAACCCCAGCGAACTAGGCGAGCCACTATCAGCAGGCAACGCAACAAATAGGCCGGAAGTGGAGGAGCAGGAGGGAAGTCATCCCCAGGGGCCGCAGGGCAGTATGGTGGGTGGAATAATTGGGAGTGTGGGAGTTGCTGTAATGTTTATCATGAGTGCTTATGGAGTTTATCGGATATATGGGAAAAGGCGCAGACGACAAAATCCCATGACAAGCCACCCCCAGAGGAGGAAAGTAGCCTATGGGGCCAGGTAGTGGGTAAGTAATTAAAGTGAGACAAATGATCTGAGCTACCGGAACGAGGAAGAAGCAGAAGGCAGGAGAAAATACTCGACTCCCAGAGACTGAAGCACCGGGCCAATACAAATTACGAATACCAAGGCCGATATGGGGAAAGAGTCCGGGAGAGCATCTGAGTACAACTCAATGAGGAAGCCAAATGATCCTAGGCCAAGGCCGGCGTCGAGAGCCGAAGTAAGAGAACAGGAAGGTGGATTTTGAGAGACAGAAATAAAAACAAGTAGGGTGAGTCCCGGTCAAATTAGAAGTCAACTGGGTAGGATTCCCGTACGACCAAGTGAAGAACACGTCGAGGATAGGACCCACAAATGATCACAGCACTTGAGAAACGGCCAGCCATGGACGTCGTACAGGGAAAGCCAGGATGATTCGTGCCACTATCGAAACAACCCAACCTAAAAACTGCTAGCAACTCTGACAGGCACCTAAGCCTCAAGCCACATGCCGTCAAAGAAAAACGAAGGGACCGCCGAAGGAACAGGCCAGAGGGACAGGGTATACCAGCTGAAGGATCCAGGAGTGGATTCTTTGAGAAGGAACCTACCTGAAGGAACCACAGCACTAACTCAGGTGGTGTAGGGTAGACTCCAGGAGATAGCTTCCCCAGGTGCAGGAACCAACCGGCTAAAGGCATATCGAAGGGTCTACCGCAGCTGGATCTATGTGGGATAAGAATGAAGCACACCACTAAACGACGTCCAGGCTCCAATTTAGGTAAGGCCACGGGGACAGGCTCCAGAACAGGTGGCAGCGACAGGACAAAGAAGCGGGAAAGGGCCGGAGTTTATGCCTGGGCGTAAAAAGATAAGGAAGCCAAACAAATGTGAAGGGAGTCCCTCCTGAACAGCCCCCTCGCGGCAAGTGGGGATAGGGGAGCCCGTGGTGAACCACTGTGCGTCTACAAAGGGAAGAACAGGTACGAGTCCTGCCAGCGGCGGTGGACATTCTTGCTTGTGGAGGTTGAGGCCCGAGTTGGAGTCCTGCTTCTTGGTTTTTAGGGTTAGGATTTGACAGGCCAACTTCGTCGCTTAGGGGTCGGGACTTCAGGGTTGCGATTCGGCTTTGCAACCTGGAGGTTCATGATTCAACATAGTCGCTTCATGATATAGGATTTGGGGTTTAGGATGCGGGTGTTGGGGTTCAAGCTCTAAGCGTCACGGTTTAGGGTTCCGGGTTAGGTTTAGGGTTCAGGTTTAGGGGTCAGGGTTTATACTTGGGGTTCGGGCTTAGTCTTGTTTTTAGCCTTAGGGTTCAGGGTTGAGTTTTAGGGTCTAGGGTTCAGGCTTTAGGGTTAGGTTTAGGGGTGCGTTTTAGGTTCTAGGGTTTAGTTTTTGGGGTCAGGGGTAGGATTTGCCGATTGAGGGTTCATGGTTTAAGGTTCAGGATTCAGTGCTCACGGTTTAGTTTTAGTGTTTAGCTTTAGGACTTCAGGGTCCCGTTTTAGGTCTCAGTGATTAGGTTTAGGGTTCAAGGTTCTGGGTCCAGGATTGAGACTTAAGGTTCAGGTTTTAGGTTTAGGTTCCTGGTTTAGGTTTAGGGTTCAGCGCTCCTGGATTTGGGTTTTGGGCTTAGGTCTCAGGGTTTAGTTTTAGGGTTCAGGGGTCATGGGTCAGGATTCAGGCTTCATGTTCCTGGGTTTAGGGTTCTTGATTTAGGTTTAGGGTTAGTTTTTTGGGTTTATGGTTTAGTGTTTAGGGTTTTGGGTTCAGAGATTAGGGTTCAGCGGTTAGGGTTTCAGGGTTTAGGCTTCAGGGCTCAGGGTTTAGGGTTTAGGGTTGAGGGTTTATGGCTTAGGTTTTCGCTTTCGGCTCCTTGTTCAGTGTTTAGGGTTCAGTGATCCGGGTTCAGGGGGGAGTTTTCAGTTCTTATCTTCTACGGTTTATTCTTTATGTGGTATTTTTATAGTCTAGGCTTAGGGGCCAATCCTTTCTTAGGGGTTTTTTTTAGGATTTCGGCTTTAATCTTCAGGGTCCGTTGTTGTTTCCTTAAGGTCTAGTCTTAGGTTTGGGCTTGTTCTCCTTCTTGCTCCTCTGGGGGAGCTCCCAGTGGATATGGATAAGGATTCAGTCGTAACTTCCTTGGCATTAAGGTTTACTTCTCAGGAGTTATTGTCATGGGCTTACTTTTTACTCCTCAGCGCGCATGAGTTGTGTCTTAGTTTTTCTCTCCTTATTTTTCCCTCCGTACATTTCTTGCGGTATCGATCCCTGTTCGGTTTTTTGTCATGAGAGAGTCCATTGATGTGCCTGGTATTTTCTATATAAGCTGGGGAGGTAATGTCAGTGTAAAAAAAAACTAACCGTACCTTAAGTCTCACGGGGTGCTGTCGCACAATCTTAGGCATCCTGGGGTTAAGGAATACGAATTCTGTGACTCCTTAAACGATATCATCATTAGATTTTGTTAATATTGGACATAATATCCGTAATATATAAAAAAAAAAGATAAGATGAAGGGATTACAGAAGGTTCCTATAATTCCTTTTGGACTATTTTTTAAATGACCACGGATAACTCTCGTTGTTATTGGAATACAACTATATATACTTTGGTTTGTATCACTGCCTTGGATCATAGAGAGAGACTTCTTACGTCCTTCTTGTAAAGTCTTCGACAGGTTCTACGGTGGACTATTTGTTCTGTTATTCATTAGGACCATCTCTTGAACCACGTGGATTTAGTAGAATACCCCGAATCTTAATGAAATATTATTTATACATAAAGGACCGGTGTCCCTGCTTCATCTTTGTATCCCTTCTTTTTTCACCAGTTTTGGTCAAGTTTTGGCGGGTTTAGGATAAAGTCGCTCCTTTCTTATTAATCCTGGGCATCTGAGGACTTTTACGTAAGTGGTAGATGAAAATTTAACAGGATTATTCTTTAATAACATGAAGGTTAGATAGCTTTTTTGCCATAGTCGTTATAAACAGACTGGGTTGGCAGATAACGGACTTGTGTACCTTTTCCTGTCCTGTTTCTTCCTCAGATACTCTCCTATATATATTAAATATATGTATATAGATATGGAAACCCTTTCTCTTTGGTTAACTCCGGTCTGCTGAGAGAAAGTCAGTGATGACATTCCAGGTTGAAAGAAGCCTACTATTACCTGCCTCCTTTCGCAATTCCTCTCCTTGGACGCTTTGCATATCTACCTGTATCGTGGCTCTTGATATCCCCCACTGACTGAATGAATGGATTAAGGCCTGTACAAAACATGAGAGCGACATGTTTCACATCAGGAAACTGTTATGCACATCATAATATTAATTGTTCTTCATTTAAGGAAGCCATTTGCCCAAGAAGAATGAATCTTGCAATTAAAAATACCCAAGGATCCTATAGCTCTCCCTCGTCCTGTGATGCAATGGAAAGAAAAAAAAATATAACGCCCAGATAGTTGCCATTAACAGATAAATATTCATTCACTGCATTAATTAATGTATCTTTGAGGAGGACACAAGAGGAATAAGTGTTGAGTCTCCAATATTTTCTGATACAAGGATGCCGCAAGGAATGAGTTGGTCGGATGGATTATATAGTGAGAATTACAGTCGAATACACGGTGTGCATAGTAGCACATAGGAAGTGCTGTATCTGACACTTCCTTGTCGATTGTGTTTGAACAGATATCCATTAACGGTTTACCTCTTCTCTCTTAATATTTTTCCTGATGCCGTTATTCATAAATAGGATCCCCCCTCCAGTTCAGAGAACTCCTCTACCTTCATGTGTCAACTCAATTTGACCGCCGGCCTCATATATTAGGAACTTTGCGAGTTCTGCACCTGTATCCCTTAATATCGCCCTTTTAATTGATCACATACTTGTCGGAGTTGCAGCTTCCCTAGAGGTACAAACATAGGGGACGCAGTCATTTTTCCATGATGTGAACTTAATTAATAGGACAGGTTACAGCGACATATCGTTTATCGAATATGAAATGATTTCTGAGTATATAGGTCAACTACTTGTCTAATGAAGAGACAGAGTTCCAATAATAAAAAGACCAAGGGATCACACGGCTGCATCTTAGGGGTTGTGCAAATGATCGCGCGCTGTTTGGTGTAATGCCTGTAAAAATGATTGGAACGAAACGCATACGAATGAAATCAGAAATATCGGGAATAAATTAGAATGATGTAACAGATATTTATGGCGCCATATGAGAATCATTCGCGATTATATATCGTTGTATTAATGAATCCAATGTGAAAATGTTCATAATATGGGTCTCCTCCGCCGTCATTGTCCTTCTTTGCTTTAAGAAAGAGTACGAAAAACACAAGACAGCAAGAAGGGAAGGTAACAGTGGTGAATGGCGACAAATGAATTAAAACATCGTTCCTGATGTCACCAAAACAGAGATTAAAGAGGAAGTCACATGTCCTCCCTAATATCAACCTCGTGAGAAAAGAGAAAATATTTCGAGATTGAACAGCACGGAGTCAAAAAAGAAGTGAAAACAAAGACAGAGCTTGTGACACACATAAAACAGGGCATACAATAATTCCACTGATAACCCTCCATAAAAATCCCTCCTGAATTTTCCTGATCTGTACCTTTAAAGACAGCAGAATTCTTCTTCATAGAAGCTAATAATATTCGACCAATGAGTTCTCTTTCAGTACACATGAAACCTACTCTTGATCAGTTTCAGGGAGGTAAACACCAGAGAAAAGAAAAAGACACTTGGGGTCATGACAAGAATAAATTATATAGCCATTTTAGCTTCTTATACGTGACTCTGATTTTAGGAACTGTATTCCGGTTAAGTGATGAGGCATCCATATAGCTATAGAGGTCTGCACCATTCTGAATCTACCCAGGACACCCACAAGATGGGGGCTGTTTATTTATAATTCTACATATCACAGGAACGGCTTTATAACCACCATATTAATGTAAAACTAGAAGAAGGGACTCACTCAGGTCAAGATATCATGTTACGATACGAGACACAGTTGAAATGTGATTTAGATAGGATGGTAAGAAGAAAAAGGGCACTAATTGTTCAAATTAAAAAGTGGTTATGGGAGTTACCATCCCCCCGCAGCCATGGAGAAACCTCCCTATCATTTCAACATAGCATCCAATAATAATCAGTTACTGTGACGGAGGAAGCTGTCGAGTTGTTCTGTCACATGTATTTCTCCACGCCTTATATACAATTTTTTAGACGTGGCTTACTGATACCGTCAACTGTTCGTCCATATTTCGATACATTCAGAGGCATATAGAGATATCCTATGACGCCTAAGACAAGGTGTCCATAAGATACAGAAAGGACAGCTGTCAATGGGATTTCTACTAATAGCGGTAATACTTCCAGGGTGAATGAAACCAGCATTGGTAAAAGAAGCATCAGACGATATACTTCAATCCCTAGTAGCTAGGAGTCACTGCTCCTAATATGCGGATGGTGTTTACTCCTCCTTACTGAATTCTATGCCTTATACGATAAGGACGATGCGGGACGATGCGGGACGATGTAGAATTCTTCGATATGTAGGTATTATTTCTGCCGCCGTGCCCTTACGTATTGGACAGCATATGGAATTGATGACGACATGTTATTGATTGAGGATTATAGTACGGAGTCCCCCGAATGCTTGCTGATGATTCCGGATTTTGAGTATTGCGATACTTACTAAGATTCTTCCTTTCAGTTGTTGAAGTACTGTATGGATCTTCCGCAATTCCCCTTTAAGGTTCAGGAGATATTTCGCTTGACCGTTTTCGCTCTGTTACTAAATTTCTTATTGCTTATTTATAAAGTTCCTTGGACAGGCACACTTAATTCTCTATGATATTCTAGGTTAATTTTGATTCCGGTAGTTAGAACCCTCTGTTCTAGGGATCTAATGTTTTGAAGAATCCGTTATAGAATGTCCATATTATGTTTAATCATAAAGATTTTTATTTTTTGTATGTCTTGTACAAAAGAATTACGCGGCTTCACATCCCATGATAATCCTCCTGTTGAGCTTTCACACATTATTGCTTCATTATTTGTGAGTTCCTGTATAGTATGCGCTGGCCAGCGCCTATCTAAAATATCCCCAGTAGGTGTGAGACTTGGTTTCTGAAAATCTTCTAACAAAGACTCTTTACAGGAACTGTTAATATTGCCTTTATTTTTCAGGATATACTTATAATCCCTTTTCGAGAGGAGATTCTGAAGCATATACTAATTTCAAGTGTCTCTGAACACGTGTCAATAACAGCCTAGTATTCCTGAGGCGCACAGTGCCAGTACTATTATTGATGCCTGCTATATGTCCATCGCCTCATCTCCCCAAGGACAAATTATGAGCAGGATTATCGTACATCCTGGAAGACGACGTTTCCATGTTTTATAAGTAGGATAAAATCTTTCCTTCCATAACGAGGAGGGAATAACTTCTCTCTATTTATAGGGGACATCTGATAGTTATGATGCCGTTATCGTACGCAAACCATAATAATACAAAGGTTATCCTAGAAATTCTTTCAAAATTCAGGTACTTTTAAATTATATAAACGATTTTTCTATTATTCTTTTCGCTTTCATAGGGACTATGCGAGATACGCCTTCTCTATTCATGTCGTCATTTTTCTTCTGAAATAACATCTCTTTCTGAATGAATAATATAGGTATTATATAAAATACAACATAGCTATTTTATAGAAAACACACGGCCCTACTGTAACATGAGACACCACATTTGTACAGGAGGATTAACGAAAAATTGTTCCATAACTAGGACTCTTATAGTTACCCACAGATTTTTGTAATCTCATCCATCTAGGACATGGGAGGAAACAAGGAATGTACGTGTGCTTTTCCAATTCCTTTCGTCTTTTATTCCATTAATGTCATGGAAACATTGCACAGTACTACCAACTGCACAACTAAATTTAGAATTCTCCACATTAATATTTTCAAGAATATGGAGTGCTCCATACATGTTCTCTTCCATTAATACTTCATCCCTCTTCAAGAGAAGCATCTAGTTCGTATATTTACAGGTTTATCATAAAGCCGTTAAGCGTAGACTCTCAGGTGTGGACTCAAAGGATAACACACCACAGTTATACATTCAAAGGGACTCTCATAAAAAGATATTCAGTGAATTTGTGAATCATACAACCCACGATCAGACGTGCAATGTTCAGGATGAAGGCATCATTTAGAACACTTTTGCAAATGCGCCTATTAGTTACGACTAAAATAAACAGGATGTTAGGAGTTTTAACGAAAGAAGGTATGAGGATATGGAAGAGGAAGAGGGAAGACTAAGGGGAAAGAATTTCCATACATATTACATTATTGTTGCCTAATTGTAACTATTTAATAGGCCAAAATGTGAGATTGTGACTGCAACGGCTCAGCAATTCCGTTATCTGGCATGTGTAAGATATAAATGGACACAATGATTCTGAATAAAACAAGAAGCAAAGAGGAAATTATAACTGGAAGGCCGTGGGGTCATGGATATACTGTGAATCTATACTTCATAACAAGGTTTCAAAGAAAAGTTATGGGTACTCAAATCCCCAATGAATTGGTTCAGAACATAGATGCCTATTCCGTCAGGATTACGCGAATGTACCTTCTTAATAGTGAATTTAGATCGTCCTTACTAGTGCCTGATCCAAATGATCTTCATAAACTT